AATTTCTATATTTTTAAGAATTTACTAAAAAAATATATAGAGAGAAGAAAATAATTATAAATTGATATAAATACAAAAATATTTTTCTTAATTTCTCGTTAATTAAAAATTTAATAAAAAAAACTTCTTATTTTGCCCACATTAAGATTTTGTACGGGTCTCTGTGTAGTAATTATTTGTCTATTACGTCTATTAGGTCAAGAATTAAAGGATTTGTACGAGAACTACGAGATGAAACACAGTCTCAGGTACTTGGAGACTGAGTCTATTCGACCACAAATGAAAATGACAGAGATCAGGTAAGTAAAACTTTTTCCCAAGTAGACGTGAGATCCTTTACTAATCAGTTGCCATCAAGGAATGTTCCTTCCAGTGATCAAGCGATTGAGAACATAAAAAACGTATATAGCCCACACTTTCCACTCGACGTCGTGCGTGATTACGTGATGATGGCGCTCAACGAAGCCGTCGAAGTGAATCAGGTGCACAACCGAGATCCAATCGGAGGCAGCAACGAAAATCTCTTCCTGTATGTAAGATAATAAGTGCTGCTGCTGCTGCTGCTGCTGCCGCTGCAACTAATTCTTCGTCAATACTACCGGGGCAACGATAATCGTCGTATTCATTTTCAAATATTTAAGCGAAAAACAAAATATGCGAGCTTGTTCTATTTTTTCTTTGAATAGGAATTTTCAATTTCTTGCTTCTCGCTTACAACATTTCACCCGATAGTCATACACGATATACGTTTTGATGCAATTTTGAAAATTACAGACCTCTTCTGAAGCTGGTAGATAGATTGCTCTTAGTCGGCATGCTAAGAAACGAGGATATATTCAAGCTACTCATCATGATAAATCCTGAAACCTGGGACCCGTCTTTCGATAAAGGTAAATTGATTGATGGAAAAATAGCATTAAATATTAATAAATAGAAAATAATTCAGAGAAAGATAATACAACTCAATACAATGTCATTAAAACATTATAGAAGGAAAAGACGAGCACAAGAAAGGCTTGCTGCATATGAAAATGGCCGAAGGAGCGAAATTACAAATGTGTTATCTACTTCATCATTTAAATGACATCCAATTGCGCCATCGCGTCGAGTCCATTATCGCCTTCGCTTACGATTTCGTTGGAGAACTGCAGGCAGATCAATTGCGACGTTATATCGAGATCAAACAATCAGATTTGCCATCGGCTGTCGCTGCCAAAAAGACCAGAGAATTCAGATGTCCTCCACGCGAACAAATGAATGCTATTCTAAGCTTTAAGAATTTAGATTTGGAGGAAGATCCAGACAGTTGTCCCTGCGGCGAGGATCTCATTGTCAAGATGAACGAGTTCCACAGCGAGTTAATGTCCTACGTATCCTTGACCGCTCTTCAAGAAGCAGCTAATGCCGCAAACGAACCAGCCGAAGAAATTCAGAAACCTGGGGCTATGAAACGCCTCTTTAATTTTATCAACGCTGTCAAAGAACTCGAGGAGGAATCTAAACCTGAAGCCGAGCCTGAGAAAAAAACTCCAGAAGGTATTTTAAACAATTATTAGTAGAAATTAAAAAAACCGAAATTTTTTTTATTTCAAAATAAAGCTGATTCTTACTAGGTTTTTTGCTCAAAATTTCTAGTTTTTCAATAATTTTTCTGTATGTAGTATAACAAATGTATATTACTTAATATATTTATAAACAATAATATTTGTCTGATTTTTTTATAGAGGTATTTCGCAAGGTACTAATATCAACCATTGTGAGTTGGGCTGAAGAATCGCAAATCGAGACACCGAAACTTGTACGAGAGATGTTCAGCTTATTAGTCAGGCAATACGATACCGTCGGCGAGTTGATCAGAGCCTTAGAGAAAACTTACATTGTTAACAACAAGACAAAGGACGATGTCGCATTAATGTGGGTTGGTTTGAGTCAAATTCGTGCCTTGCTGCCAGTACAAATGTCTCAGGAGGAAGAAGCGCTAGTTCGAGAGCGACTGTGGAAGCTGGTGAACAATCACACTTTTTTCCAACATCCCGATCTCATTAGAGTGCTGCGAATTCATGAAAACGTTATGGCCATTATGATGAATACCCTAGGAAGACGTGCTCAGGCACAGTCTGACGCTCAAACTCAGGCTCAAGCGGCAGAAGGTGAGCCAGCATCAAAGGAGAAGGACACCTCTCACGAGATGGTCGTGGCTTGCTGCAGATTCTTGTGCTATTTCTGTCGTACATCCAGACAGAATCAGAAAGCCATGTTTGATCACTTTGACTTTCTGCTGGAGAACAGCAATATTCTGCTGGCAAGACCATCATTACGAGGATCAACGCCATTAGACGTAGCGTATTCGTCACTAATGGAAAACACCGAATTAGCTTTGGCCCTAAGAGAACATTATCTAGAAAAAATCGCTATCTATTTATCGCGATGTGGCCTGCAGTCCAATTCAGAATTAGTGGAGAAGGGCTATCCTGATTTAGGATGGGATCCTGTCGAGGGTGAACGCTATCTCGATTTCTTGAGATTTTGCGTGTGGGTCAATGGTAAATTTTATCATGTTTTTTAATTTAATTTATTTAACTTTCTACTGTAAAAGCGATTAATATTAAATACTGCGATCTTAATTACAGGTGAAAGCGTGGAGGAAAATGCTAACTTGGTAATCCGTTTGCTAATCAGAAGACCAGAATGCTTGGGCCCGGCTCTTCGAGGCGAAGGTGAAGGTTTATTGAGAGCCATTATAGAAGCTAACAAAATGTCTGAACGTATTGCCGATAGACGAAAAGTAAGCTATCTCATTATTTTATTTATAGTTAACTATAAGCGAACTATTTTGTAAGTAAGAAACTATTTTTTTTATTGTTATTTTTAGAAAAGACCTATGTGCGTATATTATCAATTCTGTGTGAATTAGCCCCTAGAAATACCAAATAAATATATCTATATATACTGTATATAGATAAAAAAAATATTCCCCTAATTTCTTTATTTCAATAATTATTTCATAATTTTTGCTTAGTCCTTTCTTTCTAATTCTTAGAATTGTGATTTTATTTATATTTATTGCATTGCGACATGCTACCAAAATTTCCTTGAAATTAATATGAACTTAATTTCTCATAATCCACATGATTTTCTTTACTTCCACAAGTTCTTTATTTAAAAACAAGTTTGCTAAATATAAGGCATAAAATATGACTGTGCGACAATGTTAAAATGAATTCTCCGTAAGCATGTACCCGACCTTCCATTAATTTGATGTCAACTTAGTACCTCGCACAGGTTCACGACGAGGCTGAGGGCACGGCTATGATGATGCAATTCGAACACCCACTGCCGGAATCAGATGACGATGAAGACTACATCGACACTGGTGCGGCGATATTAAATTTCTATTGCACTCTCGTTGATTTGTTAGGCCGCTGTGCTCCAGATTCTTCGGTTATAGAACAAGGTAAGAAAATGAATTAAAAGAATTAAGCCAAAGAGTTAACGTTCATCGACTTTTACAAAATTTACAAAAATAGTTACATTTTAAATTGATTGATTTTATGTATAATTTTTATGCCCGCTACTTAAAATAACTCAATATAAAATGTAAAAAAGTGTAAGTAATTAATATTAAAAGATTTTTAATAATATATAATTTCCTTCAAATTTAAATCATTGACAGAAATAGTATTTCAAACAACATTACAGGATTTTTTTTATACATGAGAGAATTTTTTTTTAGGGTTTACCCTGAAAATATGATAGCCGTAAGACAACATTATATTTTTAAGAATTTTAATGTAAATCTTTCTCATTCATTAATAAAACTACAATATTTTAGTTTTATCAATGAATGAGAATTTTGTTTTAAAATTTACTCCGAAAATATGGCAATTATGGTATAATATAATATTTTAAAGATTTTTACCATGCACTTCAGTAAAATTAATCAAACTTACTTTATAAAAGTATAAAATAAGTTTGATTAATTTTACTGAAGTGCAAAAGTGGTAAAAATCTTTAAAATATTGTATTATACCATAACTATCATATTTTTGAAGTAAATTTTAAAACAAAATTCTCCCGTGTAAAAATCTAAAAAAAAAAAAATAATATAAAATAAAATTATAATTTTAGAGAAATTATTAAGAAAGTATTAAGAAATTATTAAATTCTCCAATCATTTCATATTTCATACCATTATATTGCATTGTTCGCATATACTTCCCATATAAAATCGCTCGAAAACTTCACTATATGCGAACGACAACAAATTATCTAATAAAAATCGTTTATTTGTTTCTTAATGACCAACAGAGGCCTTCACAAAATCCGTTGGTAATATATGAAATGAAATTTTGCTTTGATAGACTATTAGTATCATAAACAATGCTCGTTTGTTTAAAGTCCTGCAATTATTTTAGGGAAGAACGAATCTCTCCGAGCCCGAGCGATCTTAAGATCGTTAGTACCCTTGGACGATCTTCAAGGTGTGCTATCTTTGCGGTTCACATTGCTCAATCCCGCCGCCGGCGAGGAACGACCGAAAAGCGATACACCGTCTGGTTTAATACCAGGACACAAGCAAAGTATTGTGCTATTTCTCGAACGCGTTTACGGTATCGAAACGCAAGAGTTGTTCTACAAATTATTGGAGGAAGCTTTCTTGCCGGATCTTCGCGCCGCCACCATGCTCGACAGAGTACGAATCACATTAATGTTTATTTACCTCGCGTAAAATTATTTAAATTTTATTATTCGCAAATTTATTTTTTTTTATAATTTAATAAAGGTAATAAATTTTTAAAAATCACAAATTGAAATATTTTTATATTGTCTGATTTAATTTTTCGTTTCGCAGAACGACGGCTACGAATCCGAAATGTCGCTCGCTATGAATCGTTATATAGGAAACAGCATTTTGCCGTTATTAATTAAGCATTCCAAATTTTACAATGAGGCGGATAATTACGCGAGTTTACTCGACGCTACATTGCACACGGTGTACCGACTCAGTAAGAACCGGATGCTGACAAAGGGTCAACGCGAAGCTGTCTCGGATTTCCTTGTTGCATTGACTAGGTAAGCAAAAAACTTTTTAAACTATCGAATTCTTTTGCTATTTTTTTGCTTTAAGAGAAAAATTTTCATTTGTTTTGTAAATTTCAACTCTATTATTTAAAAATAACTGAGATTAAAAATAAGCGTTATCTTAGTTAATATAGTCTTCACAAATTCATGAATTATGTTCTAGAGATTAACTCGAATTTTTCTTTGCAGCCAAATGCAGCCGAGCATGTTGTTGAAGTTGTTACGAAAGCTGACTGTCGATGTGTCTAAATTATCAGAGTATACTACAGTAGCTCTCAGAGTACGTCGATTGTTATTACTTTTACAATTTATTTATTTTTTGTTTAATCTAAATAATTAACAACTATAAAATTTTGTTTACAAAAGTAAATTTTGTCAAGCAGAACATCTATTGTTAACTTTACTACTGCATAATTTAATTTTTATGTTATCAGTTGTTAACGCTGCATTACGATCGCTGCGCGAAATATTACGGTTCCACCGGTTCCACCGGTCAAGGAGCTTACGGTGCGTCGAGCGACGAAGAGAAACGTCTTACGATGGTCCTCTTTAGCAATATATTCGACTCCCTGTCTAAGATGGACTACGATCCGGAATTATTCGGAAAAGCGCTGCCTTGCCTGACAGCCATTGGTTGCGCTCTGCCGCCAGATTATTCTTTATCGAAAAATTACGACGACGAATGGTACGGCAGCAAATCAGCCTCGACTCAATCACCTGACGGTCCCTACAACCCGCAGCCAATCAACACTTCCAGGTTAATTATTAATTCTTATTATTAAGAAATTAATATAACAATCATAAACAAAATTTTATAATAATTTGAAAATTTTTAATAATTTGATAATTGTAAGTTATGGAAGATCTATGATTTTGAATATTTTAATATTTCAATATCTTATTGATAATCTTCTTTTAGCGTGGTGCTCAATAACGATCTTAATCAAATAGTACAAAAATTCTCTGAACATTATCACGATGCTTGGGCTAGTCGTAAATTAGAAAACGGTTGGACTTATGGCGAGCAATGGTCGGACGTGAATAAAACTCATCCGAGATTAAAACCGTATAATATGCTGAGTGATTACGAACGAGAGCGATACAAGGAACCCGTCAGAGAGAGTTTGAAAGCTCTCCTGGCAATTGGCTGGAGCGTGGAGCACGCAGAGGTCGATGTACCGTCGACCAATCGTAGTTCGATGAGAAGATCTTCTAAGAGTCAAGTAAGAAATTATTTGCAAAATTTATTGCAGCTATAAAAGAATGATATATATACATATTTTCAAATATGTTAGGGGGACTCGGCTAATCCGTTTAATTACAATCCCCATCCGGTGGACATGACTAATCTGACGCTAAGCAGAGAAATGCAGAACATGGCTGAACGTTTAGCAGATAATGCTCATGATATTTGGGCAAAGAAGAAGAAAGAAGAACTTACTACCTGCGGTTAGCATAAATTATGATCTAATAATTTTTATCTCTTTCTCTTTCTCTTTCTCTCTCTCTCTCTCTCTCTCTCTCTCCGTATTCCCAGCAGATACCAACTATTAACATAACTATTAGTTAAAACTTTCCATTCAACAATGTAACTATAATATAATATATCTATATTATAATCTAAATTACAGTTATATTGTTGGAAAATTATAATTAACGTTAATATTAATCAATGTTTGTTGGGTTAAAATTTAATTTATATGTTAAATAATTTTTTTGTAATATCTTATGGCTATAGGAGGTGGCATTCATCCTCAGCTGGTACCTTACGATCTGTTAACCGACAAGGAGAAACGAAAAGATCGTGAGCGGTCGCAAGAGTTTCTTAAATATTTACAGTATCAAGGGTACAAGTTTCACAAACCTAATCGCGGCGGCACGGAGACCGAAGTGGCTGGCGCAGTTGCTGCGGTAGAATTAAGATTCGCTTATTCATTATTAGAGAAGTTGATAGCTTATTTGGACAAGGCGACGATCAATATGAAGCTCTTGAAACCCTCCGACACGTTCAGTCGAAGAAACAGTTTCAAGACCTCGACAAGAGACATCAAGTTCTTCAGTAAAGTGGTCCTACCACTAATGGAAAAGTATTTTAGCACCCATAGAAACTACTTTATCGCTGTAGCTACCGCCACGAACAACGTCGGTGCAGCGTCGTTGAAAGAGAAGGAGATGGTAGCTGCTCTTTTCTGCAAGTTAGCAAGTTTGCTAAGATCGAGACTCGCCGCTTTTGGCGCAGATGTAAGAATAACGGTTCGTTGCTTGCAAGTGCTAGTAAAAGGTATAGATGCTAAGAGTCTCGTAAAGAACTGTCCTGAGTTTATCCGAACGTCCATGTTGACTTTCTTCAACAATACCGCCGATGATCTGGGTCACACGATCCTGAACCTTCAAGAAGGGAAGTATAGTCATCTCAGAGGCACCCATTTGAAAACCTCCACATCATTATCGTACATCAATAGTGTGGTTCTACCGGTGCTCACTGCGATGTTTGACCATCTTGCCGCGTGCGAGTACGGCAGCGATTTGTTACGTAAGTATTGAAAAAATTAATGAAAATAAGTCCAGAAGAAATTAATGTTAAAATAAGTCCAGCGTTGGGAATGTTATTTCATGAAAATAACTTAAAACTTTATCATATATTATTATCACTTTTTTGTAAAAATTTGTTATTGTTACTTGTTATTAGTTTTAAAAAGTAATGCATTACCGTTATTTAGAAAATAATACTTCATTACTTTTTTTAGCTCTAAAAATAATTAATTATTTTAATTTAATTACTATTAATAATTTAATTATTATTAATGTTATTATTTTAATTAATTAAATCAATACAATTTGAGTATTAATTTACTCATATTTTTCGTTTTACGTAGTTGACGAAATTCAAGTAGCATCATACAAAATGTTGGCGTCTCTGTATACTCTTGGAATAGACGCTAGTTTAACGCATGACAGAAAATACCTCAAGACTGAGATCGAGCGACATAAACCTAATCTAGGCTCCTGCTTGGGTGCCTTTTCAAGTTGCTTCCCAGTGGCCTTCTTAGAGCCTCATTTAAACAAGCACAATCAGTATTCCCTTCTAAATCGAATCGCTGATCATTCTCTGGAAGCTCAAGATATTATGACAAAGATGGAATCGAGTATGCCAACCTTGGAGACCATCCTTAATGAGGTCGATCAGTTTGTCGAATCCGAGAAGACCTACAACGATGCTCCTCACGTCGTTGACGTAATTCTACCTTTGCTCTGCTCTTATTTACCATTCTGGTGGGCGCAAGGACCTGACAATGTGAGTCCAACTGAAAGTACCTACGTCAGCATGGTAACGAGCGATCACATGAATCAGTTGCTGAAAAACGTGTTGAAGTTGATCAAGAAGAATATCGGTAATGAGAACGCACCGTGGATGACGCGCATTGCGGCCTATACGCAGCAAATCATTATCAATTCGTCCGAGGAATTATTAAAGGATCCATTTTTGCCTCTCGCCGAACGTGTCAGAAAACGAACGGACACTATGTACCACAAGGAGGAATCTCTTCGGGGTTTTATTAAATCTTCGACTGACGATACCTCGCAAGTTGAGGCGCAGATTCAAGAAGATTGGCAATTACTTGTGCGCGATATCTACTCATTCTATCCCCTATTAATAAAGTACGTCGATCTTCAAAGGAATCATTGGCTAAGGAATAATACTTCCGAAGCCGAAGATCTATACAATCACGTAGCAGCTATATTTAATATCTGGTCCAAGTCACAGTACTTCTTACGCGAAGAACAGAATTTTATATCCGCGAATGAAATTGATAACATGGTGCTCATCATGCCCACTGCAACAAGAAGACCTGCTACAGTGTCTGATGGCACCGCACCTTCCGGAGGGGGCAAAGTTCGTACAAGTTATTTTATTTACTTTCCAGCAAAAACAAGCTAACGTTATTTACCGTTTTTTTACATTAAAATGACGTTAAAGACGACAAATAACGTCAACTTATTTTCTGGGATATTTGATTTTGCTAATCTACATGTAATTCAAGAATCAAAAGATCAAATGATTAAATATCTCTTTCGTATTTAGAAAAAGAAAAAGCATCGCGACAAGAAGAGAGACAAGGATAAGGAAGTACAAGCATCCTTGATGGTCGCTTGCTTGAAAAGATTGCTACCTGTTGGCTTAAATCTCTTCGCTGGTCGCGAACAGGAATTAGTGCAGCATTGCAAAGACAGATTCCTGAAAAAGATGCCGGAATCTGACATCTCGGAATTTGCCAAGACTCAACTGACACTGCCGGATAAGATCGATCCTGCCGACGAAATGTCTTGGCAACATTATCTATACTCTCAATTAGGTCAGAAGAAGGATGTAATGGAGCCTGTAAAAGCTCAGCAGCTCGAAGATGTCGTTGCTAGAATCACCGACATGGCCAAAGTCTTGTATGGTTTACATATGGTTAGTTATGAAGCTGTTTAACGTTATTATATAGTTGTAATTTTCAAAATTTTGTGGATATTCACAGTACTTAAGGAAAAATCTTCGAAGCTTTGTAACTTTTTTTTTAATTTGCTATTGATATCAATGTTTTCGTGAACACTGGAAATGCAAACGCTACTTTTGGAAATCAGTTCATCATATCATCATTTTTCTGTTTCTTTAAGAGTCGCGCCGAAGTATTCATCATATTCATTCCGTACTTTTGTTCTCGAGTAGATAGATCATCCACAACAGCAGAGCAAGAGTCAATATCGTTCAGTGGTGTCGATCCAGCGTAAACGAGCGGTAATCGCTTGCTTCCGCCAACTTTCCCTACATTCCTTGCCAAGGTATCCTTCTTGTTATTTAGTTACGTTTTCTATTTATTTGTGATTTCACAACATTATTAATTTTTTTAGTATCACCACATTTTTATTTTAAGTTAAACTGAATGTCGCCGGTGTGTTTTGTGTTATTGATTTATGTAGAATTTATTAGCTATTTTGCTGTTTGTTAATCGAAGAAAGAAATAATCAGGCAACAAGAATCGATCAGTTTTGAGTGTTATATATTATGTAACATTAACTGCAATAATTAATGAAAGTGATTGTTAATGATTTAATGAGTGCGCTTGCTGTTTACCTGCACGCTAACAGGCGACAAAGCCGCCGCCATCGCGAGATGGATGGAAACGCGTGTTGTGCGCTGCTAGAAAAAGAGCGGCGATTGCATGTTTGCGTAGTGAACCTCTATATAAATTGAGAAGGTATGATTAACGCAAATTAATAAACTGTATGTTTCTTTGAATAATATTTTAATTATATAAATTTATTCTTTTAGGCATCGAGCGATAAATATTTTTGCACGAACGTATTACGAGCTGTGGTTACAAGATGAAAATGTGGGTCAAGAAGTTATGATCGAGGATCTTACGGTAATGGCGACCTATATTATTGAACCCTTAGTACAAATGATTCAGTCATTCGTATCCGTATTTCTTTTCTTTGAAATACTGGAAGCACCTTAAATAAAAGTATCTTCTCCTTTTTTTAAAATACAATTTTACAAATATTTTCTAAAGATGCTAAAGTATATGTAAGATTATACTTAATATTTTTTATGTACTTTTAAAAATGACAGAAATTAATCCGAAATACGAAGGACCTAGGAAATTATCGTATGTATTAAGGGTTAAGTCACAGACTTCTATAAGTTTGTGGGTTAAGATTGAAATGTAGATAATTTAACGTAAAAAAAAATAACAATAATATTAATATTATAATTTTTCTTTCAGCAATCGTTCGAGGATGCTGAGTTGAAGAAAATGGATAAGGCTGAGGACGAAGGCAAGCCCGATCCATTGACACAATTGGTGACTACATTCTGTCGTGGTGCTATGACTGAACGATCAGGCGCTCTTCAAGAAGATCCGCTTTACATGAGTTATGCTCAAATTATCTCGAAATCATGCGGGGAGGAAGAGGAAGAGGGTGAAGAAGAAGGTGGAGGTGAAGAAGAAGGAGGAGCTTCGATCCATGTAAGCATCTTTGATTGATAAGTTCTCGTCTGATATAATAGATATAATTCTCTTTCAAATAAGAAAATAGAATTCTTTAAATTCCCACTAAATATCAGTCTACCGCATTAATAAATTCCCTATTTTTTTCTAACTTACTAAAAGCGGAGACATAAGCTATTTACGGTAAGAATAAGTAGTTAGTGCGAGAATTCATCCGTTTAATATATGCTCGAAATCCAAAGTATTAACCATATAAGTTTTCCATATTGTAACATCCGAATTTGTTGATTTATATATTGTTTTATTCATTGAAATCAAAGCGATATGTACAATATCATTTATGAGTAAGCAAAACATCGTAGGCTATCAAGATTTGTCTTCCTCTCATCAATCTATTACTAACAATAATAATATAATTAAATTATGCATTTTTTTCTTTTAACGTAATTCTCAAGAGGCCAATGCATAAATTAATGGTAAGATATTCTATTATATTTAATAAACATTTTTTAACATAAAATAATGTTAAATCTCAATAAATGTAAAATGATTATATAAAATTTTTAATTAGAGAAGTTTAATATTAATTATATTTTTTTATTATAAATTATTATAATAGGTTAAAAGTAATGCATAATATGTATGTACATTTATCAAATTTAGGTACATGAAAGTAATTTTATTTTTATATAACATTTTTATCATGTTTTGTAATTATAGGAGCAAGAAATGGAGAAGCAAAAACTCTTGTTCCACCAAGCTCGTTTAGCAAATCGCGGCGTCGCCGAAATGGTTCTTCTGCACATATCAGCATGTAAGGGCATTCCCAGCGAGATGGTGATGAAGACTTTAGAGCTTGGAATTTCGATCCTGCGTGGTGGTAATATCGAAATTCAGCGAGGAATGCTGAATCATCTGAAGGAGAAAAAGGACGTCGGTTTTTTCACGTCCATTGCAGGTCTAATGAACTCTTGCAGCGTGCTGGATCTGGACGCTTTCGAGAGGAATACGAAAGCTGAGGGTCTCGGTGTTGGTTCCGAGGGTGCAGCTGGTGAGAAGAATATGCACGACGCCGAATTCACTTGCGCCTTATTCCGCTTTATCCAACTCACCTGCGAGGGTCACAATCTCGGCAAGTATTATTCCGCTGAACACAAATTAATAATAACATTACATCAATAATATAATTTCTCATTCAATAACATAAATGTAATTAACATATATTATACATATAACAATTACATTGTTCAGTAGGAAATTATAATATTGATGTAATGTAACTAATTATGTTCAACGGAACATTATCACTGAAACATTATTTACTATTGAAAATAAAAAATTCGATCAAATGACGTTATTCTATGTTCAATAGATTGGCAGAACTACCTTAGGACACAGGCTGGTAATACGACGACGGTGAACGTGGTCATTTGCACCGTCGATTACCTACTGCGATTGCAGGAATCGATCATGGACTTTTACTGGCATTACTCGAGCAAGGAACTCATCGACCCTGCCGGCAAAGCAAACTTTTTCAAAGCTATTGGAGTTGCCAGTCAAGTTTTTAACACTCTCACTGAGGTTATTCAAGGCCCATGCGCACAGAATCAACAAGCTTTAGCGCACTCAAGATTGTGGGACGCAGTCGGAGGTTTTCTTTTCTTATTCTCGCATATGCAAGACAAACTATCGAAGCACTCCAGTCAGGTGGATCTTCTGAAAGAATTGCTTAACTTGCAAAAAGACATGATTACCATGATGCTTTCCATGCTTGAAGGTATATATTTCTTTTCAATTTTATTAAGAAAATGAATAAAGTAATCAATATTCATGTTATTTGAAGGTAATGTCGTGAACGGGACGATTGGAAAACAGATGGTAGACACTTTGGTCGAGTCGGCTAGTAATGTAGAATTAATTTTGAAGTACTTCGACATGTTCTTGAAACTAAAGGATCTTGTATCATCGCCGAGTTTCTTGGAAGTCGATCTTAACAATGACGGTTGGGTGTATCCTAAGGATTTCAAGGAGAAGATGGAGCAACAGAAGAGTTATACCAGGTATTACGCTTGCAAAATTACCTATCATCTAATATTTTTAGAATTAAATTACTTTACATCTAAAATTTAAGATTAAAAAAAAATCTGGATTTTTCTTTTTCAAATGTTTTCAGCGAGGAAATTGAATTTCTCCTGGCCTGTTGCGAGACGAATCACGACGGCAAGATCGATTATGTTGCTTTCATGGATCGTTTCCATGAACCGTCGAAGGAAATCGGTTTTAATCTGGCTGTATTACTCACCAATCTGTCCGAACACATGCCTAACGAACCGAGACTAGCCAGATTCCTTGAGACAGCCGGCTCTGTTCTAAATTACTTCGAGCCGTTCTTAGGCAGAATTGAGATCCTTGGTGGTAACAAGAAAATTGAGCGCGTGTACTTCGAGATCAAAGAGTCGAACATCGAACAGTGGGAGAAGCCGCAAATTAAAGAATCGAAGAAGACCTACTTCTACAACACGGTAGTTGAGGCTGGCGAGAAAGAGAAACTCGAAACCTTCATCAACTTTTGTGAAGACGCTATTTTTGAAATGCAACACGCGAGTGCGTTGATGACCGTAGAGGAAAGCGGCGGAATCGGCAAAGCAAGGGAATCGTCGTACACGTATATGACCGAGGATGATGAAGAAAGAAATAAAGATCCAATCAGGCGGGGTATACAAGCCATCAAAGATGGTGTTTACTTCTTTTTTTACATGTTCTCGCCTACCAATATTAAGAACAAGATCGCTGAAATGCAACAGATGACGATACCCGAGCTCTTCATTGGTTTCTTCAAGATGATTTTCTACGCCTTTTATTATTCCGGCTTCGGTGTTGGCTGTGTGATCAAGTATTTCATGAGACTTCTATTGACATTAATGAGAGGACCGCATGTGGAGGAGCCTGTTGTAGTCAAGGAGGAGGAAGAGAAACCGTCGAGACATTTACCCGCTTTGCCACCGACGCCGGATGAATCAAATTTACAAGTAAAACTTTCTCAATAAATTATGTATATATTAATACAACACTAAGAAATATTATTTAACAAATTCGCATAGGTGCAAGCCTTCGGAATGGATATAACGAAAGAAGAAGGAGGGCAAATAAAACTAGCGCCACACGAATCGGCTACTTCTACGCCGCAATCCAGTATCGAAGAAACGGGTGAGAGTACACCTGAAGAGGGTACTGGCGAGGATGGAACGAGAGCTGAAGGAGGAGAAAGCGAGCCGCCTGTTACTTTAGCTGATCTACTTGGGTTAGTATAAATACATTAGTCCATTAATGAAAAATAATTAAATAATCCATAAAATTATAGTTATTTTATAATTTTATTTTTAACGGTTTTATTTTTAATGTTATTACATTTAAGTTTATGTGTCGTGGTACAAAATGTGCTGCAAAATGGAAAACTTTAACACAAATTAAAAAAGAATGCCTAGACAGTATGCACGTCTAAAATCAGAATATAAGATGTCTCGACATTAAAAAAAATTGGGCCAAAGTTTTACGATATCTGCAGATCGTGAAACGAAGAAAATACGCGTTTGCCGCATGTCGCTACGACAATTTTCTATTGAGTTATAACGCTTCGAAAATTCGACGGGCGCGTACGAATTATGAATAAGTGCAGCGTGCGCTTGTGTGTCACGTGCGTGTGACGTTTATGCTACTACGCTACTACGCTACTACGGTCAGCTGATCAGCTGACCAATAGTAATCGCTTGACACGTGCTTCGCAATGCGAACGGGTGAGGCTCATGTCAGCGGCCTCACCTATGGATTAAAATCATAGGTCGATATAATCGATTATACCTTCGCATAGAAAAATCGTAGCAAGATGGTCCTGGTCGCGTTGGAAAGCTGAAATTATAGCGCTTCTAATGACCGTAGAATCATGTACCTAAGATAATCAGATCGTGAGATATCATCGGTTGATTACAAAAATAAAATTAATTTCACTCCGAAACGATTAGCATTCTCTTGCAGTAGATATTAATATATCTTTAAATTACGATATCTCAACCTGAAAAAATCATAGCTGCTTAAAGCAAATTGCATTAAAAAATGCACACTTTCCTGTATAACGATATCGATTATATTATTATTATCATTATTATTATTATATATGTTATTATTTATAATAATTTTAGTATAAATTATATATTATAATATTATTTTAGCTTCTTTTTTTAAAAAATAGAATATTTTCATTTTACTACATGTTAACTGAATTTAAATAATAATAAATTAATTAATTGTTTGCAAATTTTTTTTGTTAATTAAATGCTTTGTTACAATATTTGTTTAGCGGAGAACAAGCCAGAGCGCAAGCTGCCGCAGCGGCAGAAGCAGCGGCGGCACAACAAGCAGCCATGGCAGCAGTTGAAGCCGAAGCAAAGCAAGAAATTTCAGCCGAACCTTCCACAGGATCGAGCATCGATCTATCCGAATACAGCCATCGTATAGTATCCTTCTTGGCCAGGAATTTCTACAATCTGAAATATGTCGCGCTAGTTCTCGCCTTTTGTATCAACTTTATGCTACTATTCTATAAGGTTTATCAATATTTTCTATTATGATTTTTTTTGTGCAGACACAATAAATTAAGTATAAAAATCTAAGATTCTCTATAAATTCAAGTTTTGCGTGTATATCGGTTTTTCATGTATGTTAATTTTAAATCTAGGTTACGTCTTTGGCTGATGATTCGGATGAAGAAAGTAGTGGACAAATAGCGGATTTGTTAACGGAAATATCAGGCGAGAGGACATCGGGTTTGGCAGGTAGTGGTATGGAAATAGGCAGCGGTAGTGGTGAAAATGGTTCGGAAGAAGAAGACGAAGACGTTCAGGAATTTGTTGAAGTGTCTGAGGATTATTATTATATGGCTCACGTCATGAGGTTACTGGCTGCTCTTCATTCAATTGTTTCACTCGCTATGCTCGTCGCGTATTATCATTTAAAGGTACTTGAAACGCGAATAATAACAATAACTACAGAATAAATTTTGAACATTTTTTTTCTATTGACAAAATATTTTAATAAATTCAATGGTAGATATATGTACTTATATAATTATCGTAATTTAAAAAGTGAAATTACAAAATATTTATATTTATTCAGGTACCATTGGCCATATTCAAACGAGAGAAGGAAATTGCACGACGAGTAGAATTCGATGGATTATACATAGCTGAAACACCAGAAGAAGATGACATTAAAGCGCACTGGGATAAAATGGTAATATCAGCGAAGACTTTCCCCGTTAATTATTGGGACAAATTTGTAAAGAAGAAAGTCCGACAAAAATACAGCGAGACGTACGATTTCGATTACATCAGCAATTTGCTCGGAATGGAAAAGACTTCTTTCAGCCAGCAGGAAGAAGAAGGATCTGGCTTAATACATTTGTAAGTAGATATTGTGATAGTATCTCAAGTCTTTCCGTGAGATTCTTTAATATAAAAAGTAATTTTTTTATAGCATTGTAAATATCGACTGGAGATATCAAATATGGAAAGCCGGAGTCACGATTACCGATAACGTAAGTTCTTTCAAGTAAATTTTCAGCGAGATTAATTCATGTATTTTATATGTAAATTATTTAAATTAAATACTTACATGTGCATATAATAATTTGATTTCTAGGCTTTTTTGTACAGTTTGTGGTACTTTACATTTTCAATCCTCGGCAACTACAACAATTTTTTCTTCGCCGCTCACCTGTTAGACGTCGCGGTCGGTTTCAAAACTTTACGAACAATCTTACAATCGGTAACACATAACGGCAAGCAGTTGGTCTTAACAGTGATGCTACTGACAATCGTAGTATACATTTACACTGTGATAGCCTTCAATTTCTTCAGAAAGTTCTATATACAGGAGGAAGACGATGAAACAGACAAGAAATGTCATCATATGCTAACAGTATGTTATACAGAAATACGTAAAAAAATCTTTCTTTAATTATAACGTATTTCATCTATAAAAAACTTTGCGTTATTTTAATTAATTTGAAGCTGTTGATGCATTTTTTTATTTCCTTTCAGTGTTTCATTTTCCATTTGTACAAAGGCGTAAGAGCCGGCGGTGGTATAGGCGATGAAATTGGTGAACCTGACGGTGACGATTACGAGGTTTATCGTATAATGTTCGACATCACGTTCTTCTTTTTCGTGATCGTCATTCTGTTGGCTATCATTCAGGGTGAGTATAATTGATTGGTCCCCGATTGCAGCAGAAAATAAAACAATATTACATCGCGATTGATTCTTAGGTTTGATCATCGATGCGTTCGGCGAACTTCGAGATCAGCTCGATAATGTAAAGACAAATATGGAGAGTAACTGCTTCATTTGCGGTTTAGGAAAGGAATATTTCGATGCGGTACCGCATGGGTTCGATACTCATGTGCAACAAGAGCATAATTTAGCAAATTACATGTAAATGTTTATAAATATTTTATGCTTTTAATTTTACAATGAGATATCAGAAAAAAATTGTATATTATCAATTTCTATATGATTTTAAATCACAACAGGTTCTTCCTTATGCACTTGATTAACAAACCAGACACCGAATACACTGGTCAGGAGACTTACGTGTGGAATATGTATCAACAAAGGTGTTGGGACTTCTTCCCGGTGGGCGATTGCTTCCGTAAGCAGAACGAGACGGTAGAAGAAGAGGCCAAGAAAAAATAAAATTAATCCTGATTCTAATTAAGGTGACCAATAGAAACGATCGATCTTACTTGACGAAGAGGACTCTCCTCATCGAACAGTGTCTTCGATAATTTAGCATAAATTTTTGCTCACCAAGAGTGCGTGGTTAGCACTCATTTAAAATCAAATTTCGAAAGTTCTACATCTTACCTCATAACGACAAAGAAAGGATTTTTATCTTGTAAACTTATGCCTCCGTTTTCCACTTGGTAATTTATTCCGGCTAACTAATAGACTTTCTGACGTGTGAATGTAATGCATTAATTGCGTACTGCGTGTAATGAGGATTACAGAGAAATTCGTGTCTGATACCGCATCGGGGGAATAAAATTGAACATATTTTTCCAACTTTGTAAAAAATGGCATAAACTGTATCATCAAAACCAGCAATTTCCTCTTTTAGATTATATTTCTAATATTAGATAGCAAAATCATTGACAGAAGCTCGATTTCCTTCGATTAGCGGTACGTTATTGTTAAATCGTTGGAAATGGTGGAACCGACTGCACAAATTTACATATTCATAGCGTTACAATATTGCCTTCTTTTCATACGTCGGATGATCTATACTGTATAATTTTATGCTACATCGCATAAAATACGAAAAGCGATAATAAGTTTAAGATATATAATAATAGAATAAGTAAAATTAAAGATGTTTAAAGTTTATGTAATGTGCAAATCTTTTTCTGACTTATATGAAAGCGGGAACTTTTTGGACATTATATATGACTAGGCTCACGATATATCTGAGAATGTCAATATATTGTAAATAAAATTCTACAGCAGGACTATCTGGTAATAAATAAAGACATACTTCTTTATTTCGTTATACTAGGATCTCTCTTTGACCTTATGCGCATCAGTTATTAATTTTTTTCAAATTTAATTTAAAATTTAAGTATTAGCTTTATCTTCATCTATCAGAGTAACTTCAAAATTATGTTAAAATTTACAAGTATATAAAAAACGTGTTAGAATTTACAAATTATTAATATCATTACGTTCTTATTTAATTTACTCAGATTGTTTATGTAAGGAAAACATTTTAAAAATATACCTATTTCAAATTTCGAAAATTATTAAAAAATTCTTTCTTATTTTCATTGAAATAATATCGAAAAGAGAATTTTATCAAAAAAGAATTCGTTCCTCTTAATTGGCTTTGTGAGATCGATGAAGTACTAGCGGAATTCCGCATGACGCCGTGTCGTATCGATGTCTATCCCTGCATAGTAAAATCTCGCATTTCCCGTCGCGACACGCACCCCCGGGGAAATGAGAGAGGAACAACAAGAGTAACGGTGTGTCCCTCCGCACTAACGGCGGAAGGAGGTCGCGCAAGCGCATCGGATCAGTACTCGCTCGCCGGCGAGGAGCCTTCAGCCGCCTTCAGGGTGAAAATGCACCATGGCATGGGAGGATCGGCGGGCGATCGTCACGGCGCTCAAAATTCGGCGATGCAGGCCAGGAATGGGGTCTGCGACAAAATCGAAAATTACATATCCGAGTTAGGCCGATGGTACGTGAGTAAACGTGAGGGTGGTCGCCTTAGACGCTCGCAGGAGCCTTTGCGTGTATTTTCCGCCCTGTGCCGCCCAGCAAAGTCGGTGGGGACGGGCGCAAGGGGGCGAATGACCCAGGGATAAAAGTGGCGGGTGTTTAGCTACGTTTCGTTATAGTTTTTTGCAATTGGCATAACAACAATCGTGGTGTGATCACGATGATTTAATATATTTCAGCCGAAGTTTCAAAAATTAGAGTAATAAAAATAGAACAAATCAATATACGTGATAATACAATTTCCAAAATTCGGAATGCGCTAGTGTTGGTGTATCTTTTGCATGGTTTCTGGGTGTGTGAAATTCGTAGATCTCTGTGTTGAGATCTACGAATTGTAGTGCATTTTAGTAATCTTACATATTTTTAATAATTTCAATCATTTTTGTATGATTGATATAAAAATTTGCCACTATAAAGTATTGTCTAAATTAAGTGTTTATTTTTACGCGGTATTTCTTATACCTTCTCCTGTATTGCATAGTCGCCTTGAAAGTACTATAGCGATATAGCCAATTTTGGTCTGACTAATGTCAAACGTTACTACTTAAACACCGGGACACAAATATAATATAGTTAAATTTAATATAGTTAAATTTAAGTTAAATTTCTATTTAGAGAAAATCAGTTTCTTATTTTTTATAATAGGCTCAATCGAAGTAATTGACAATGTTTAATTTTGTATGTATTAAAATTTAAAAAGATTTTATATTTAATATTATTCCACGTTCAAAGATAATTTTACTTTAAATTGATACAAGTCTAAAATATAAACATTTTATGTTATAATAATTATCAAATGTGTAAAGTATTGTGAAAAGATTAGATTATTAAAGTTTGCAAATATTAATTCGATGTCAATTTTTTTTCAGATTATGTCGTTTTAAATATTGTTTTAAGATTACTAATTACTATAAATCTAAATTATAACATTTTGTCAAGGATATAGCATAATTAATAGTGTATAACACTTTTTAATTAAACATCATAATTACCCTACTGTTAATTCAATGTACGGGATTTAATTATGACGGTAAGTATCAGAGTAATTATGATGCTTCGTGCGCGATTACGCTGATGGTTTGCACAATTTTTAACAGCTGCAAAAGATACCGTTACAAAAATCATCTAAATGAGATCCATAACATATAGACATTGATTTAAATAGAATCAAACCAGCAGAAGAAACGAAAACGTACTAGGATGAAATCGGGATTAGTGCAACATGTTAACACATAAAGAGCATTAAATTCTCTGTGCATTGAGATTTGATTGTGTTCATGTTGGAAGATATTTCTATTAAGCTAGCATGCTAACACGAGCACAATCAAGTGAGATGTACAGACAATTTAGTATTCTTTATGTATTAATTTATTGCTTTAATTTTGATTGCTCTAATTGCTTAACAACATAAATCGGTTTTATGCTAACTTTTAAAAAGTTAGAATGCTCATTAAAAATAATAACAATAATGATAACATAATTATGATTATACCATAATTTAGCATTATGTGCTTTTAATACATCCTACTAAGATATATTTAAAAATTAAATTTAACCTTAGTTTCGGTGCGCTACACTTCACGTCTGAAACAATACCAAAACATATATCATGCAACAGAAAACTATCAAATAAATACTTGATTAGTTCTAAATTATAATATAAATGTGTTTTTCTTATACATTTATTACTTTAGGTATTTTTTTTCTTGTACGATATACGTTTCGGAGTTGATTAAAATGTGAAGGGTAGTGCACCGAGATTTAAACTAAGGTATATTAAAAGCACATAGTTAGCACTAAATTATGGTGTAAACGTTTTTATTATTATTGTTAACATTTTTAATGGGCATTCTAATTTTTTTTAATTTACAAGTTAGCATAAAACCGATTTTTTTACTAAACGATTAAAAACTATAAAATTAGAGCAATAAATTAGCACGTAAAGAGCACTAAATTCTCCGTACATTGGATCTGATTCTGTTCAAATTGGCGTGCTATCTTAATAGACGTCTATGTCTATTAAGATAACATGCCAATATGAGCACAATCAAATCTCGATGTATGAAAGATTTAATGCTCTTTATGTGCTAATTCGTTGCTCTAATACTAATAAGATTTGATTGCTTTAATCATTAATCAAAAAAATGTTTTAATCTATAGTTAGAAAAATTAGCTATATAAATCTTTCAACAGAATATATATATGTAAATATATATATATATATATGTAAATATACGGAATACAAGAGATCCAGGTCGATTTCCGGTCGAGGTAATATTTTTCGCAATAAATTTATTTACAGTTCTTTAATACATTAATACATCTTTCTAATAAGATGCCAGATTTTGAGCATCAAATTATTAAATTACATATCAATTTAATTTGTGATATTACTACAGTAGTTTGATTGCGCTTATAAGTTCGAAAAATCATTTCGACGCGTAGTTCAAATAAATAATAATATATTTAGTATTAAAATTAAAATTAAAATAAGGTTCCAAAGATTAAATCAATAAAGGAATATAAAGTCAATGAGAGCCGACACAGTACCTGTGTAATCAAACATAATATATATGTCAATTATCAATTACAGACGTTTCAACCACAGTATTAGGTCATCTTCAGTGTAACAATAAATCATCGGAATCGAAATTGATGCGTTGTAAAACAATAAGACAAATGCTATCAGTGAATCGTTAGGCTGTTGTCCAAAATTAAGAACTTCATCGTCTGTTGTACTTAGCTGGATATCTAAACAAGAATTCAGTCATTTAATTAAAATCAAGTTAATGTATGAAATTTATGAAATTTTAATCGTAGTCAAAATATTAAAATAGATTGTATCAGTTGGATAAAACTTACATTGTACTCAGAATAATGATGATCCGTTATAACGATGTAATTATAAGTCTTAAGAGCGTGTGAGAGCCTATGGTCGAAACGTCTGTAATTGGTGATTGACATATATATTATTTTTGATTACATACGTACAACTGTATTGGCTCTCATTGGCTTTACATTCCTTTATTGCTATATATTTAGTATATTAATTCACATAGAAATTATTTAAAAAGCATTAAGGATCCAGCTTCGACCAGTAGGCTTCTAATTTATCGATTGTGTTCTCACATGTACAGTCTAAAATCAGATACATTCTTATTGAGAATAAATAAATTTTAAATACTAATCTTTATGGCATTAAAAAGTAATACTAATTGACATTAATTGATATAATACAAAATTATTAATACTTAAAGATATTAGGCTTTTAAAATATTAAAATCATACAAATGCAATATCATATAGTATTATAGTCATGTAGTATTAGATATATTTTAAGGTACACATTTGTACATTCTTGGAATACGTATCAATATTTATTAATGAATTATCAAATAGGGCAGTATGGAGGGCGATAATAATGGGCCAGTTCCTCTCGCTGGTGCTGTGCTTCATGACATTCATAAATCATTACATAAACACCGGTTCCTACAAGCTCTCGCTTCCAACAGGTAACTTATTCATTCGGAAAAAACTGGTTTGTGCCTTTAGCGTCGGAAGTTAAAGTGACTAAATTATAGCAATTTCAAGTTTATGAAACTTTGCGCGGCTAATTAATTATTATCGTTTTTGCGAGACAGGGCAAAATGTTCCACACTACGTGATGATGTGTTTAGTCTACACAACGTGGATGTCCTGTAGGGGTGTAGGGAATGGTCTAATTTCCGTCATACGAGCCCGAGGCTGGAGATATTTGTTGTTAGCACTGATCGACGTTGAGGCGTGCACTCTTATTACATCGTCACATCAATACACTAGCCTCGCTAGTATACAGGTATGTACATACATAAAAAACTTCAAATTTACTGTTTATTGCAAGAGCAGTACAACAATATAGATTAATAAATCTTGTTTTTGGAAAATCCCTATATTATTGAATAATTCTTACTTTCTAAAACTTTTAGAGCAAATTTTACTCTAAAGAATAAAATCTCACTTTTAAAGGCTAAAAATTGAGTCATTCTTTTTCAAGACTAGGTCAATTTTCTTTCTTTAGAGTGAGATTCCACTTCAAAGAATTTAAAGAGTGTTATACATATTTTTCGATACTTATTTTCTTCGTCAATTTTTTATGTTTATTGTACTACAATTTTTAAGCTTCATTAAATAATTCGTAAAATAATATTTGTTTCATGATTATCTCCGCTCACGTTTAAATCCAATTCAAGTGCGATTTCTGTTGATGTTGTTTAATATA